AGGGTTGAGTTGAGCTGAAGGCGGAGGTAATGCATCTAGTGGGATGAGTTGTGGGAGTACAAGATATTAATGGGATATTAGTGGGATCTCAGTGAAAAGGGAGAGAAGAGTAATAAGGGCAGGTTATACAGTACCAGTCCGCTGTAGAGATGGGTCGAGGAGTGTTAGAGGTGGGTGGTGAAGAATGCCTCAAGTGACGAACACGGTCGTAGTAGTTGGTTGGAAAGTTGCAGCTGGCTTTGAACAGATGGCCGCACGATCGAGTTTTGCAGCTGGCTTGAGCTTAGACGGATTCTCTCTTCGATGTAGTCTTGTACCACCCCTTCTCCCGCCCTGCCTGTTGTCCTAAGCAGGGTTTCGCTTGGTGGAGCGTATGCGCTCCTTGAGTCCAGAATGCTACGGTAACCTTCGCTGCCTCAATTTGGACTCGGTTGTCGACAAGATTCACTCCTCTGTAGGACCCTTGTAGAACATGCCTCGACAAATTCAAAGAGCAAATGTATTGCTGCAGAGGGCCCTTCGTGCCATGTAGAGGATTTCGTCAGCCCGAGCAACACGTTTTCCGTAATTGGAAAGACCTGCTTTGTCCAGGGTTCTTCGTTGTTTTAGATTCTGTCCTTTTCGGTAGAGTTAGGTCTCGGGAATCTAAGTCCACTCTCCCTTAGATCTTCCTGTCGTGATCCTCCTCCTCGGTAGCTGCTTGTCGTCGTCGTTGAGAGATGTTGCCCTGCTAAACTAAATGGATGGCCAGATAGTACTCTCCGCCCTCTGACGACCGGGATCTCTCTGGCTGCTTCCATTCGCGGGTAGATGTGACCTGCGATGCGATCTGGACGGCCAGATAGCCTCCTCCTCCTTCCAAAGGCAGTGATCTCTCCTGTTCCCCTTGCTACCCTAAAACTATATCTCCCTGCATTGCGGAATGCCTACGCTGCCTAAGCGCTGCTCGACGCGGAGTCGCCTCGTGCCATAGTAAATTGGGCCTTCCTCAACGCGAGTATGGAGAAGATGGGAGTGGGCCCAAAATTCAGAAAGTGGGTGCACGTCCTATACAATGATGCTAAGGGTTGTGTCCAAGTCCATGGGTCAGCTCGCCAGGGAGACCCTCTAGCGCCGCCAATTTTTCTCTTTGTGATGGAGGCTATAGCCTCATTCCTGCACAAAGACCGCTCCATTCACAGGCTACCAGACGTCAACATGGGCACCACCCACCACCTGCAATTCCCAATGGTAGTAATGTTTGCAGATGATCTGACGGTTCTCATTCGAGCATCAGACTCTTCCTTTAGTGCGCTGGTTAGAGCTATTGATGCCTTCAGATTAGCATCAGAAATGAAAATTAACTGGAAAAAAACAGTCGGTTGGTGGTTGTCTGACGAGGACATCCCTCAGCTCCAGGGTCCTGAGGCGGCCATGACGAGGGAGAAACCTGAGACACCCACATGGCATCTATCCATATTAGTGACAAAAGATGGCTTCACCCCCCAAATGCCTCAGAACTTACTCACCAACCAAATCAACAAACTGGGTAGATGGGGAAATAGCTGGGTCGTGCGCTGACCATCAATACATCGATCTTCTCAATGATGTGGTACATAGCATCAATCTGGACAGTGCCGGATCATACAATCAAGGATCTCAACCGAAAAGCCTGAGCATACTTATGGACCAGCAATCCTAACAAAGAGAATTGCATACCGAAAATAGCCTGGCACTACATTACGAGGAAACCAGCCAAAGGAGGACTAGGCATCATTTACTCCAAACAAGAAACAAGGCCCTACAAGTTAAATGGATTGTTAAACTCCTCACCAGACCTGGATTGGCATGGAACAAACTGGCTCTGGACAGCATCAGGAATTTAACCCTATAGATACCGCAGCGAATATGTCAGGTCTTTTCTGGGTGATGAACAAAGAATGGAGCCCAAACACAGGCCGGAGGAATCGACGAAGAGGGATTGGGGTAAAAAAAGCTAGACCTCCCACACCCTACTGGACTGCCCTGCTGCGGATATGGTGGGAAATCATGCCAAAAAAAGTGGGTAAAGAGGAGGTGTTGAGACAAACCCCTGTTCGGCAATCCTTGGGTGAGGGATGCGGTGACCACCCTCTAACCCTTAAAACTAGAGGAAGGAGATGGCTGTCATGGATAAGGCATGGAGTTTGGAAAGTCTGCCACGGATGTGATGAGAAGAAAAAAATTGGGTGACAGAACAGAAACTTGCCTGTCGGCTCAAGGGATGTCGCCGACGGGATGAGAACCTGCTAATGGTCATACGCTCCATTCCAGAGCGATGGAAATAATTATTGAGCGAAGCCTCAACATGAAAACCAGGAGAGTGGGGTGTCTTGGTACAGGAATCATCTACCTCGAGGGCCTACCAATTCTCCCATAAACAGCAGGGATCGGACACTCTGGCTGTGTTCACCTCTTTTCTAATCATTCATTCGACTCAAGGGCTTTCATCCATTCTGAACGATGGGGTAGAAAGAACAGTCCTAAACAACTTTGTGCTCAGGAAAGTAAGAGTACTGGGGCAATGGCCAAAAATCATCTTCAGAATGGAAACGGCAATTCTGAACTTGGAATTTGACCCAGCGGATGGGCCTGGGCACCAGAAAGAAGCAAAAACCTAAAAACTAATGTATTCATCCATGAATATACAGTTAAACTGGGATACAATCTCCTAATTAAAACCAAGGATCCGGATCCCACAATCAAAAATAGATGGACGAAGTTGATTGGTCAGGAAGCCACCCAGATATCACAAATGCCGTGGAAGAAATTCAAATCAATTCGACCAGTTAAAATTAGAAGCCTCCAATGGCTTATCTCATACGTAGCGTTACCTGTCAACCAATGGCTCCATCCCAGAAGAAGACATAATGACCCCAATAGCTCTGACCTGTGCGTAGTATGCTCGAAAAATGAACCTGAAGATACGATACACTGTTTAATAAAGTCCAGAGAAGCGATGGAATATTGGGCCAGGGCATCCGACCTCTGGGCCTTCCTTTTCCCGACTCCCCTCCCCGAACACCCCATCCAACTCCTCCTATGGACTAGCATTCCTGCTCATTTCCACAAGTCCGAAAAGATATGGCTTGGGATGAGCAGAAAAGTAACGCTGTGGTCTATATGGAAGGAAAGGTGCAACAGCACCATTGAAGGGCTATCAACACCAAGGAAGAAAGTTAGGCCAGAGACAAGGACACTAATTCAGGCAGGGATTTTGTGCAAGTGGCAGAAGACCAGACACTCCATGACAGATAATGTGGATCAGCAGCAGAGAACAGTAGAGAAATTTACAAAGATATGGCTGGCAGGTGGCAAGGTAGCAGAAATAAAGGACTTCCGCATGCGATGGAAGGACTGGCACAACTCAGAAGTGGGCCTGAGAAGACAGAGAATCCAGCAAGCTCCATCACAGGCCACATAAGGATCATAGCAAAAGGCTTTGAACCTACAAGTGCGGACAAGTGTGAAGACTGGGGCTGCCCCTTCACTTATCCCTTTCTTGTGCTTCGAGATAAATATGACGGGTCCTAGTTAGGTAGACCTTAGAGGAAACGTGGAAGTAAGGCAAGCTGACAGTCAATCCTCCATACTGTTTGAGTAATCAATGCTGATCAGGGATCCTTCGGCCAGACGGAAGGAAGCGTGAGTCTGTTGATATTGTTAATTTTTGACTTGCCGGTGGAATAGGAACCGGACTGACGCTCCCCAGAATGGATATGGAGCCAGGGTCATGAGGACCTGTTTTGTTATTAAAAAAAAAAAAAAAAAAAAAAAARAYCCTGACTGTTGGGAAGATTTCAGACAAGTCCCCGTTTAAGTCCCAGTCTGTTGAGGGAAATTTCAGATAAGCCTCTGCACTTCTAGGAAAGCTTCCACTAAGTCCCTACACGCTGACGGTTGCTCTCATTGGATTGGTGCTACTTCCTAACTCGGCCCCGCCCACTCAGGCGGGCCCCTTTTCTTTTCAGTGAGGCCCACTCAGGCAGCCCCTTTCTCCCTTTCAGCCCGGAGAAACTCAGCCGGGCCTTTTTCTCTTTCAGCCGGGTCTACTCAGGCAGGCCTTTTTCTCGAGATGGGCCAGGGAAGCCGGGCGATCAGGTGGCATAAGAATTTTTCAATTATAACTTTAGTTTTCAACTTTTCACTAATAGAGTCTGACTTGCTTCCGGACAAGCGTGAGCTAGTGATGTTGGTTGGGATTGACTGAAGATTTGCAAAATCATACTGCTGCTTGGCATTCCTCATTCTCAACGGGCGCCCTTGCCCCCGTCTTTGCATGTGCAGCGTCTTGACAGCCCCCTTCACACTCTCTGTCATTCCCTCCCCCTTTGTGTGCAAAGGACTTCGGGAACCATTTACCCCATCCCCCCTTTTGTGTGCAGCGCATCTTGTTGACCATCCTTCCCATGCAGGCATGTCTGCGAGTGTCCTTTGGGTGCCCACAGACATGTTTGGCAAGCTACCGCACTCTTGGCAGACGTGTCCATTGGATATGTAATATGTATGCATGCTCACGAGGGGGTTGATAGCAGACATCCGGGCATGCATCTGCCAGATATGTCCACTTGCGAGCATCACAAATATCTGGTGTTGTTTGGTGAACACATCTGCTGGTAACCATGGTGAAGACTAAACTTCACAAACTTGCACATACAAATATGCTCACACCTAGAACACAAAAGGAGAGCTTCAGGCCAATCAAAGCATTGGCAGCATTTCTCAGATAGTGGAAATCTCAGACGGAGGAAGAGGAATAACTTGCTGGTTCATGGCTGGCTTCTTCTTGCAGGCTGCTTTCGGAATGAGCACGGAGGAACTGAAGCTCTGTAAGTGAAGAGGGTTAACTCTGCTTTGTACCAGCATCATTTAACATAAGTTGATGATCGTGGTGATTCTGCGTACAGTTTCAGTCGTGCATACCAAATATGGGAAAAGCAAGCGGGTACAGGGGTAGAGATAGGCATAGGGGAGGCTCACACCTCTGCTTCAGTCTCAACGTTCCAGATTCTAACAACCTGATAGCCAGCAATAATCCGATTCAATCAAACCCAGTACAGATCACAAAGATGGGTCAAATGGCGAACACAAAAGGGTACACACAAATCACACAATTAACCACCACCAGAGAAAGAATGAGAAGAGCGAAGCATGCCTCCTGGTCCTGATGCAGATTGCATGCTAATGCCGCCAAGTTGTGCTAAAAGAGCTGGATGTAATACAACACAGTTTGATGCTAATGATCGCTCTTAAGGACTTAGAGGAAAAAGGGAATAATCTGGGTAATGGGCCCAGCATCCTCCGGGTTGAGATGTTGAGGGATTCCCGGCCTCATTGTTGATTATATAATAAAAACTGCAACTCTTCCAAGAAAAAGAAAAAAAAGGGAATAGATGGTGTTGGGTAAAAACACTGCATGCATGAATTCCTATGCACACATGCACACACACCCTCTCCGTACAGAGAGGGTGTGTAGAGTGGCTTTTATGGCCGTGAAAGACCAATTTCTCAGATTTATTGCCATTCTTGTCAGGCGTTTGGACAGATGATCTGCTAGGATTGCAGGGCTGGTTTTCTCAGGGGTATCACTAACTCTGGGCGAAGCGGTGAGTCCTTATCCATCAGTCAAATGCATCCTGGGCAGACTGTTGGGGTTCAACCACCTCATGTATTAGTGAAAGTTCAATTAAACAGTCTGACACAGCCATGCTTTTTTCTGTGGAGTTGTGTATAGTGGACATGACAATACATAGTTACGTTTTTTTTGTTTTCTTCTTTTGCAAGAATTGCTCCCTTCTATTTGTGGGAAGCTGAAACTGCTGGAAACCGGGTCCAGCATCCCTGCAATTGGTGATCGCCGTACCCACTCAACACCTCCCCACGTTGCAGCCCAGGTAACCCTGACAGCATTGATTACCTCCTCTTGGGAAGGATTAACTGCCAGTACACCCAAACGCTCGTGTCAAACCCTTCCTGCATCAGATAAGGACTTCCGCACTTAGAAACATACTCCAAAAGCAGGCAATACAATCCCTCTCAATCCACCTTGTCTGCCCTCTGATGGCTATGACTTCTGTGCTGTAGCTGCTGGGCACTGTGCAGTTCACAAGAAATAGCTTCCCACAAGTGAACTTTTGTCAGGAGAGCACCTAGCAAAGCTCAACAACGTGACTCACTCCATCTTGTATATTTTGCTATCGCCTGTGACATGACATGACCTGTTTGTTCTCTGATGCTCGGTCCTCAGCAACCACCTGTGTGAGTTTTTCCAAGAAGGTCTTACTCATGAGAAGTATGATCTGACTGCTGGGAACCCACTAGCAGTTTGATAATCCATTTTGTCTGCAGCGCCTTGATCTGCAGTTCCAAGGCCCCCGTTGCTTTTGCTGAGCACCAGGTATTTCCACGCCACCTTTGGTATAAAGTGCTGTTTGGAGGGGTCGCCTGTCCACAAGTATGCGGCGGCTCTCCGTCTGAGATCCGTTTTGAGTCGAGATTCGTGGTCCAGATTGTAGTGGCGTACCACAGCATTAAGAAGATGGAGAGTTGAGGACCAATGCCCTGCCAAACAGCGAAGTGTAGGTGGTGGACCATGCGTCCAATTTGTGTAACATTTTGCTCAT